GGGAAAGGAAAATTAAGACATTATATGACATATTGGGCTTGATCCTGTTTCCCTTCAAAATCCATGAATTGGTCACCAATATCAGTTGCAATATTGGGCGTATTTTTTTTATTTGGTAAAAACTATGGTATTAAAAGGTTTGAATGCATCTAATATGCATTCATGTAATTTTTTTGTAGTGTTTGCAGTACATGGGGCTGATCTTGCCAGGTACCAAGCATACTGAACTCCCAGTACAGCAACGGTAGGTGGGAGAACACCTGTTTGGGTCATTGATTTTGTCCTTTAATTAGAATGCACTCCTCAATCTAAATATAAAGCCAGAGAAAGTCATAGGAAAAGTACTCAGATTATGGCCACTTTTTAATAACTCCAGTTTTGGGGCATTATTAGGATTAAAATGACCTCTTGGGCTGATATGTCCGGTGCCCCTTATCGTGTCATATTTGCAGGCTTTGTTTATTTTGGTGAGGTTTGCTCTCATTCTACTTGGTAAGTTATTCTAATTCAGCAGAAATCCTTTCATGCTTTAAAAACATTGTCTTGATGCCTGCTTGCCTGTGGATAGCTGAAAATAAATCAGTGTTTAAAATTCCCCATTTCTGTTAATTCTTATGGTCATGAGAGCAGCTCAGAGGTCAGATCTGCACACTGGACAAACATAGAGGTGGACAAAGAACTTGCCTCAAAGATACTGGATTCTCCCCTTGCAATTAATTTCAGAATGGACAAAATAAGAAGAAACATATTAGAAAGGCATAGAGTCAGTCAAAGAGGTATTCTGAAACCAGTATATGCAATTGCCCACAGAACATTTTGTGGGGTCTATAGTCTTAGTTGGAGTATGAAGGAAGGATAGCGGTTCTCTCAGTTGCATCTCGAGAGAGTATAGTAGAAGACTGGGATGGTAGCTGAAAAGCTTATTCCTGAAGTTGTCTTCAAACTATGCATCCTGGGTGCTGCTGAACACATGGATATACGGGTCACAGCCAGAATTATGGTTTTTATAATCTGGACCTGCCTGCTGATACTAAGCAGTTTAAACTGGCCCTAAGAGCTTGATCCAAATCCTATCAAGATGCATAGAAACTGGAATCTACCCTGAATACCTACCAAAGGTTAACTATTAATAACCCTATGGGGCCTAGAGTTTTCCATGAGATGTGGCCCATTTCAAACATTGACCTTATAAAATGAATTGTTCCAACTGTTGTTTTCTTACCAGAAAGTGTAACTCCTCATGTAGAGGGAGTACTGCTGGGTATTTCAGCACATTATCCTGTGAGGTGCAGAATGCCTCCGTAGAAGTACTGACTATCCTCAACTCCCACTGTAGTCAATAGGAGCTGACAGCACCCAGCACCGTCCAGAACTGGGCTCCTAGCAAACATCTTGATGCACAGGATGTCATTTAGATTTTCACACATATTGTTCTAGCATGAAAATGGCTTTGACAGGCTGGGATCAATTCATTTTAGACATTACATGCATCTCCCTGGGCACCAGAGACATTCAAATATTTTTTTTTCTTGGTGTCATCTTGAAAGGATTATAGACAATGCAGTTTTTCCATATATGTCTATTAGTAACTAATGCCCACGGTGAAGCATATTAAAATGGCAAAACAGTGAGCTAAATCCAGAAGCCTAAAAATGTAAAGACTACTAAAAGATAGCACTGTCCCATATGTAACATCTTATAAGAGGAAACAATAAACAAGGAATACTAAAGAGGAAGGGGAGTGATAACTCCTGCCTGCGTAACTATCGGTAACATGATTGTTAGCTATGAATAAAAAGCAGATGCAATGTGGCCTTTTCAAATCCAAATTAAGCTTGATAGTTTAGTTCCCTGTGTATAAATCATAGTCTCTCATACCTAAGACTGCCTGTATTTCAGATAGAAGAAACAGCTTGTATTCTGTTGGCTCAGACCTTCTACCGTTCATGTATTTGGCCATGCAAGCCTGCATACTTATATTTTTCTCTTTTGACCAAGATGTATCATGTTTCATATAAAGCAGTAAAATACATACAGAGAATGTGTCTTAGCATACTGACATATTCACCCCAGCTGGTAGTTGTTATTTAATAAAACAAAGTATTGTTTTATTAAAAGTATTGCCATTGCAGGATGACACAAAGCTGTCTTAGTACAACAGTGCACATGGACCAATAAGCTCTCTTGATCAGTCTCAGTAGAGCTGACTGGTGCACACTCAGCACCATGCCTTGGAAGGCAGTGAGCACAGTGTAAGCAACATGGTACCCTTCATGCATAGCACTGAAACAGTATAGACAGGTATTTAAAGTCTTATCTTAAAACCCACCTCAGACAATGACCATGTTTCCATTTCTCCAGTCTGATTTGGATCAGGTCCTCAGTATCTTGTCTTATAAATCCATCAACCTGCTGATTATTTTAATTCTGTGCTCTCAAGCTTCTCAGGTTTCTCAGTCTTTCAGATACTGAAATTAATGTACTGTTCCAAACTAAATCATTGGATGCAGGGATGGCAGTGGATATAGTTTTCCTAGACTTCAGGAAGGCTTTTGATACTGTCTCTCACCCCATTCTCATTAGGAAGCTGGGGGACTGTGGCGTAGACACCCATACAGTCCAATGGGTCGCCAACTGGTTAGAGAGTCGCACCCAGAGGGTGGTAGTGGATGGGTCCTTCTCGACCTGGAAGGACGTGGGAAGTGGGGTCCCACAGGGCTCGGTCCTTGGGCCCGCCCTGTTCAATATCTTCATCAGTGATTTGGATGAGGGGGTGCAAAGCACCCTGTTCAAGTTTGCTGATGACACTAAGATGTGGGGGGAAGTGGGCACAATAGAGGGGAGCAACAGGCTACAGTTGGACCTAGATAGGTTACAAGGATGGGCGGAGGAGAATAGGATGGGGTTTAACACAGACAAGTGTAAGGTGATGCACCTGGGGAGGAACAATCGGCACCACACATACAGGCTGGGGAACTCCCCTCTTGTCAGCACGGAGGTGGAAAAGGATCTGGGAGTCATTATTGACTCCAAGATGAACATGAGTCGGCAATGTGGGGAGGCGGCTAGGAAGGCCAACTGCACCTTGTCGTGCATCCACAGATGCATCTCGAGCAGGTCCAAGGAGGTGATCCTCCCCCTCTATGCGGCACTGGTCAGGCCGCAGCTGGAGTACTGCGTCCAGTTCTGGGCGCCGCACTTTAAGAGGGATGTGGACAGCATCGAGAGGGTCCAGAGGAGGGCCACTCGTATGATCAAGGGACAGCAGGGTAGGTCCTATGAGGAAAGGTTGCGGGACCTGAACCTGTTCAGCCTTCAAAAGAGAAGGCTGAGGGGGGATCTTGTGGCCTGTTATAAACTGGTTAGGGGGGATCAGCAGGCGCTGGGGGAGTCCCTGTTCCCCCGAGCGCCGCAAGGAGTGACCAGGAACAATGGTCACAAGCTGGCGGAGGGAAGGTTTAAGTTGGACATCAGGAGGCGCTACTTCACGGTCAGGGCGGCTAGGGTCTGGAACCAGCTTCCATGTGAGGTGGTGCAGGCTCCCACCCTGGGGGTTTTTAAGAGGAGGTTGGATGACCACCTTATTGGGGTCATTTGACCCCAGTGCTCTTCCTGCCATGGCAGGGGGTCGGACTAGGTGATCTGCTCAGGTCCCTTCCGACCCTAGAAACTATGAAACTATGAAACCCCAGACAGTCTTTCTTTGTGTGTTTCTGCCATGTAGGGACCTGAAGAGCCTGACATACAAAGGAGAAAGACAACAGCTAAATAACTATAACTTATTACCATCACTATCAAATGTTTTTTATTGTACTAAAACCCAGGCACACCTTAAGAAAGAGAATGGTGTAGAACCTAGTCTCTCTCTGTTTTCCAACAAAACCCAATAGCTATACTAGTAACTTCCTTATGAAGGCTCCAGGCTTTGTTCCATAGCCTTGTTAAAGCAGGGCTGTAACAAGCTATTAGAAGTTAGGCTTATGGTGAAGAGGTTGTATTAGAACAGATCAGTCTGTTCAGTTTCTTAAGTCCGGTCCCAACATTTTCTGATGCTTTCGTGAATTTGTGTATATGTAAGTGAGACATATCATAACTAGAACTGAGCTGCACCTCTTCTCCGAAAATCAGTCAAACAAAGAATCCTCACCTTTCTGAGTATGGGGCTTTCTGAGGTGTTTCGTCATAGATTTCATAGACATTAGGGCTGGAAGGGACCTCGGAAGATCGAGTCTAGCCCCCCGCCCAAAGGGCAGGAAGTCAGCTGGGGTCATAGGATCCCAGCAAGATAAACATCCAATTTACTCTTGAAGGTGTTCAATGTAGGTGCTTGAACCACCTCCGATGGCAGGCTGTTCCAGACCTTGGGGGCTCAGACAGTAAAGAAATTCTTCCTTATGTCCAGCCTGAAACGGTCTAGCAGTAGTTTATAACTGGTTGACTTCGTCATCCCTTGGGGCACTCTGGTGAATAAACATTCCCCCAGATACTGATGGTCATCAGTTTGTAAGTAAGTGTGAAGAGGAGAAAAGGGTGAACAAAAAGAAAGGTAAAAAGTAAAAGGAAGAAAAGGAATGATCAAAGGCTAACATGGGAAAAGATGTAGTTGGGGAAAGGTAGAGAGGGAAGCAAAAGCAAAATGAGGAATACAATAAGTCAAAAGGAGTGAACTAAAGAAGAAAAGAGGCTGTGCACAAGGG